TTTACAGGCATTTGGAAATATATGAATTAAGGATCTCTTTAATATAGAATAAAACTTTTATTATAAGGTTTAGTAGCTTAAAAAGGCCAGCCTTGCCCAGTGTTGCAAAGTTGTCTTGGAAGCTGGGAACTGTTCATTCTGTTGATCAGTGGCCACAGGATAGCTTTATGAATTATTTAAGTAAACAAAAGAAGAAGAAGGAGAGTCTGGGAAGATGGCTCAGTGGTAGAGTGCTTGCCTTGCATGCCTGAGGCCCTGGGTTCGATTCCTCAGCACCAAATAAGCAAAAAGAAAAAAGCCGGAAGTGCCGCTGTGGCTCAAGTGGTAGAGTGCTAGCCTTGAGCTGAAGAGCTGAGGGACAGCGCACAGGCCCTGAGTTCAGGCCCAAGACAGGACCCCCCCCAAAAAAAATTTCCAAGAAGGAGAAGAAGAAAACAAAACAAAGCTGCAAACCTTGTAATATTTATTGAGGACATGATGTTGCAGTGTAAGTTTAGAGATGAAAAATAAAGTAGCTTTTATGAGACCACATGGATTTAACACAGTGGTGATATAATTGTGGATCTATGTTCATCAAGCACACTTCGATTGTTAGACTACTATGGGCTCTCTATTGTTTTTATTTTTCTATCAGAAGTTGCTATCAGAAGTGGGAACACTTTACTTTCATGTCCTTAGACATTCTTTCCTTCTCTTCTACTCTGTTTTATAAATAATGCTTCTTTTCATAAATAATGCTTTAATTTAAAGCATTTTTAGAATAAAGTGATTATACATCTGTGTCTGTGTTATATCATTCTGTGTTCTAAAGGACTTAGTGATAAGATGATTTCTGTGACAGAAATACCTCATTTTCTAAAATAGCTTTGGTTTAGCTGAGTGTGGTGGTTCATGCCTGTAAACCTAACTACTAGGAGATGAGAAGGATCATGATTCAAGGTCATCCTGGGCAAAAAAAAAAAAAAAAAAATAGACCTATTTTCAGCTAAAAAAGCTTAGTTTAGTGGCATGTGCCTGTCACGCCAGCATTGTAGGAGATATAAATAGGAAGATCACAGTCCATCCTCTCCAGGACAAAAATTTGAGAACCTGTTTGAAAAACGATGGAATCAAAAGAGGGCTGAGAGGGTGGAAGGTGGCTTAGCTAGTACAGCACTTGCCTACAAACTGCAGAATTCTGAGTTCAAACCCTAGTACTATTAAAAAAGTTTTGAAAAATATTTATTAAAATTTTATTTTTAATTTAATTTAATTTTATTTGTGAACATACTGTACAGAGGAGTTACAGTTACATGGGCAGGATAATGTGTACATTTCTTACCAAGCATTGCAGCCTCCTCCTTTGTTTACCCTTCACATCCCTTCCCAGCCTCCCCCCTCCCCCCCTAATCCCAATCCTTCTCCTTCCTCCCCCCCAGCCCCCCCCCCCCTCCCCCGCAGCAACGTTGTAAAGTTCGTTTTGGACATGACAACTTGTACTTCTCATTGTTGCAACAGGTCCACCTGTATCCTTAAACAACTGGTTTTTCCCCATCTCCTCCACAAGTTATACTGACATCAAGTATAGCGAAAGCAAGGGTTATACTGTGGGGGAGGGACATACAAAGCAACAAAGAGATAATCTTATAAATGTGTTAGAAACACATTCATGAAAGAAAAAAACATTAAAATACACATCTAAGGGTTCATTTTCCTGACATCACATTATCTGACCTTTTCCGCTTGACTCATACATATACTAGATATTACAAATAAGGGAAACCATGGGACCTACGTTTCTTTGGGCCTGGCTTACTTCACTTAATATAATTTTTTCCAAGCCTTTCCATTTCCTAACAAATGGGGCAATGTCATTCTTTCTGATGGAGGCATAGAATTCCATTGTGTATATATACCACATTTTCTTGATCCATTCATCTACTGAGGGGCATCTGGGTTGGTTCCAGATCTTAGCTATGGTAAATAATGCTGCAATAAACATAGTTGTGCTGGTAGCTTTAGTGTGGTCTTGTTTGTAAACATTAGGGTAAATGCCCAAAAGTGGGATTGCTGGGTCATAGGGGAGCTCTATGTGGAGTCTTTTGAGGAACCTCCATACTGCTTTCCAAAGTGATTGAACAAGTTTACATTCCCACCAACAATGAAGTAAGGTTCCTTTCTGTCCACATCCCCTCCAGCATCTGTTGTTGTTAGAGTTCTTGATTTTTGCTGTTCTAACTGGAGTGAGGTGATATCTCAATGTTGTTTTGATTTGCACTTCTTTTATGGCTAGGGATGTTGAACATTTCTTCATGTGTCTATTGGCCATCCTTCTTTCTTCTTCAGAGAAGTTTCTCTTTAAGTCTTTCGCCCACTTATTTATTGGGCAGTTGTTTCTTTGAGGATTTGTTGTTGGGGGGTTTAATTTTTTGAGTTCCAAGTATATTTTAGATATGAGACCCTTGTCCGTTGTATGGCTAGTAAAGATCTTCTCCCAATCCGTGGGCTTTCTATTGATCTTGCTAGCTATGTCATTTGCCCTGCAGAAGCTCTGCAACTTTATGCAATCCCATTTGTCCAACCTTTCTTTGATTTGTTGTGTTTCCGGGTCTCTATTCAGAAAATTTCGGCCTGAGCCAAGGAGACCCAGGGTTTCTCCTATTCCATCCTGTAATGTTTTCAGAGTGTCTGCTTTGAGTTCAAGGTCTTTGATCCATTTGGAGTTGATTCTGGTGCAGGGTGATATATAAGGATCTAGCTTAAGTTTTCTACATGTAGTTAACCAATTTTGCCAGCACCATTTACTGAAGAGGTTGTCTTTCTTCCATTCTATTGTTTTAGCTCCCTTATCGAAGATTAGATGGCTATAGGTCTGTAGGTTCATTTCTGGGTTTTCAATTCTATTCCATTGGTCCTGAGGTCTGTTCTTATGCCAATACCAAGCTGTTTTGATTACTATGGCTTTATAGTAGAGTTTGAAGTTTGGTATTGATATTCCTCCAGCAGTGTTCTTTCCGTTGAGGAGCGTTTTTGCTATTCGGGGTCTTTTATTGTTCCATATGAATTTTTGGATTGCCTCTTCTATTTCCTTGAAGAATGAGGGTGGAATTTTGATAGATATTGCGTTGAATTTGTAGATAGCCTTGGGAAGTATTGCCATTTTCACGATGTTAATCTTTCCAATCCAGGAGCATGGGAGGTTTTGCCATTTTTTAAGTTCTGTGTTGATTTCCTTTTTCAAGATTTTAAAGTTTTCATCATAGAGGTTATTAAAATTTTTTTTAACGTAGCTTTTTGAATCAACTTGTAAAGGCAAAGGTTTAGTAGAACTTATTTCTTGATAGCTTAATTTGTGATTCAGAAGTGGAAATTTATGAAGTCTCAAGTAGAGTTATTCAGTTTTCATTTAAAAATTTAAAGCTTTATGTCAGTTTGGCATTATTAACTCAATGTATTTATTTATTTATTTATTTTTTGGGTCCGGTCATGGGGCCTGAACTCTGGGCCTGGGCGCTGTCCCTCAGCTCTTCAGCTTAAGGCTAGCGCTCTACCACTTGAGCCACAGTGACACTTCCGGCTTTTTTCTTTTTGCTTATGTGGTGCTGAGGAATTGAACCCAGGGCCTCATGCGTGCAAGGCAAGCCCTCTACCACTGAGCCACCTTCCCAGCCCCCTATTAACTCAATTTAAAGTGTTACTTTAAAATTTTTCTGATGCTTTTATGCATTAGTAATGTATAGAAAGATGTTCTAGGCTTTCTTTGGTAGATAATAACCTTAGGCTAATTTTTTAGACTTTGAGCTCTCAAAAATGAGAATACTGTCTGATAAAAGAGCGTGGGCTGAAAGAATGATGAAAATAAATGCTGATCTATCTTTGAAATTTATGTTTTGTATTTAGGTGTGGCTTTTAATTGTAAGTGTCTTACTAATTTCTTGTGCTAATATATACCTAACCTTATCTATCTACCTCTTTGGAAGTACAAAATATATTAAGATTCTAATAATGAATCTATCTTTACGATAACTTACATGTTGTATTTCCTGAGGCTAGAATAGATTTGGAAGATAAGAGTGTCAGTCTCCATGTTTCCTTTTTTTTCTTTTTTTCCTCTCCTTTTTTTTTAATTGTAAAGATACTGTATAGAGGGGTTACAGTTACCCTCTTTTTTCCCTTGAATACAGAAAGCAGCAGAATTTGAAATTAAATCTATCCTTATATTTTATTTTCTTCTCTTGCCTCTTGGCACCTTGAACCTTGTAGCCAGATTCCCTGGAGGGATCTATTAGCCCACTTTGTAAAGCTTTTTATTCTTCTCATTCTCTTTAGTCCTCTTTCACTTTGGTGAAATACATCAAAATAGAGAGAGAGAAGTTGCTCAATCAGCATTCAGGCAATAATAGTAGATCTGGGTTATTCCATTAGTTTAAATATTTTTATTTTTATTACTAAGGTGTTGTACAGAGGGACTACCATTTCATAAGTCAGGTAATGAGTACATTTTGCTTTTTGGACAATGTCACTCCTTCCTTTACTTTTTGCATTTCCCCTCCCTTCCCTGCCGGCAAGTTACATAGGTCATTTTCCATATAGTGAATACTGAATAGCATGATTGCATTTGTTCACCCTTCCTCTCTCTCCCTTTCTGCTCTTTCCCTCCCTGCATTTGCCTCCCAAGAAGAAAAAGGAAAAAAAATCAAAGAAAAAAGAAACACCATTATCACTATAACCAACAATAACAACAACTCTCTCCCCCTAAACAAACCGTTTCCTTTCTTGAAGTTCATTTCAGTGAATCGTATTGATTTGCAAATGACTTGATATAAAAAGAGTGTGTGGTTTTCAACTGTCTCTGTCATTTCAATTTTTGAAGTATTTTTCAGAAATGCTTGAATTCCCCTGGTTAACATGCTTTACGTGATCAAATAAACTTTAATGGTTGTGAATATCATGTCACAAAATTTGCAGTATTCCCAAAGAGTTTCATGGATAAACTCTCACAGCTGATATTTGCTTTTCAGGCAATGAATCGCTCCCTGGCTAATGTGATTCTTGGAGGCTACGGTACCACTTCAACAGCTGGTGGAAAACCCATGGAAGTTTCTGGCACGCATACAGAAATCAATCTTGATAATGCAGTTGAGATGATTCAAGAGGCTAAGAGCCTTATTATTACTCCAGGTAAAAAAGGGAAAAGCCAAAGCGAAGAAAAACATCTAGTAGTTGTTGAAACTGATTATATTAAAACAGTGTCTTATAATGGGAAAAGTATTAGAATGTATTTATTTTTGAATATATTATGGAAATTTGGTAGCAACTCAATAGTTTCTAAGTGAGAAATTCTGAGAGTTCTTAGTTTAGGTTAATATTTTGGACATTACATAGATGTTCTATCAGTTAATGCCTTGTTCTACTCATGTCTTTCTGTGACATAGTACACACATTAAGTCATTGTTTAGTCTTGATTATTTTTTTCTCATTGGCAAATTTTGGATCTATTATCGGTTAAGTTAGATGTAGTATATGAAATGTTCTGTCCGTGCATTAGATTTTTCAGTCAATGTTAATCTCTTTGCAAAAGTAAATATAAAAAACCCAACAATTACACGGCTTTCATCAGATGAGAACATAGCCTAGATAGAGGTCTGTTAAATAAAAACCCCCTTGTGTCCTTAAGGTTGCCTCTGACAGCCCATGTGACATTGACAAAGTCATTTAACCTCTCTAGATCTTCAGTGTTCTACTGCTTAGCTCAGTTCTTTATGTTAAATCCTATGTTGTTATAAATAATAGGAGTTTTATGTGAAGACAACCTACTGATTTTACAGGTGGATAGTTTACTAGTTGGTTGCACATGAAGATTAAAAATAACAAGCACAGCCAAATTGAATGTTAAGCTTCAAGCTTTCTCACCTTGGGACAGTATTACTTTAAGGGATATTTAAAACATGTGTGTTTGCAGAGTTCAAGCCTTGTGACCACCAAAAAAAGAAAAACACCCCCCCTCCCCCCAAACCCATGTGTTTGTATTTTGGTGATATCATAAAAATGGGTCTGCTATTGCCAATTAGTATATGGAAGCAAATGAACTAAGTATGATGAAAATGAACTAAGTCTAATGTATGGAGCACACCTGCATAGTGAATAGTTTCCATCAAAATGGCAGCTGTTAAGAAACGGTTAGAATGTAAAGATACAAAGATACAGAGGGAGGACCTAGTCTTTTCCTCTAGACATTTTCCAGCTACTGAATAGCTAAGATAGGCAGATCAATAATGCAAGATGGGTTATGATAATGGCTTAATCGAACTATGTAATAAGCAGTTTTTCTCTCATGAAGAACCTTTGGAATTTTGTTTTAGCTTTAGAGAATGGATGGTGTTAGGTGTTAGGGAGGGCCAAGGAATAGCTAAGCCAGATATTGGCATTTGGAAAAGTGGAGATGGGCTGGAAACATGGAGACAGCAGTATCATTGTACAGGAAGAATGGGCAGAATGTAGAAGTTAAAGGGGAAGGAAGATGGCTGGCTTTTGGTTTTATGTGTGTGTGTGTGTGTGTGTGTGTAGAACTTAAAAATTATATTTAGAGGCTGGGAATGTGGTTTAGTGTTAGAGTGCTTGCCTAGCATGCATGAAGCTCTGGGTTCGATTCCTCAGTACCACATAAAGAGAAAAAGCCGGAAGTGGTGATGTGGCTCAAGTGGTAGAATGTTAGCCTTGAGCACAGAGGCTCAGTAATAGTACCCAGGTCCTGAGTTCAAGCTTCAGGACTGGAAAAAAGAAAAAAAAAGTATGTGTGTATGTGTGTGTGTGTGTGTGTGTGTGTGTGTGTGTGTGTGTATTTAGTGTAAGGATTGGATATGGAAGAAGGTTTTTTTTTTGTCATCGGTCATGGGGCTTGAACTCTGGGCCTGAACATTGTCCCTCAGCTCTTCAGCTCAAGGCTAGCGCTCTATCACTTGAGCCACAACACCACTTCCAGTTTTCTAGTGGTTTATCGGAGATAAGAATCTCACTGACTTTCCTGACTCGGCTGGCTTTGTACTGTGATCCTCAGATCTCAGCCTCTTGAGTAGCTAGCATTACAGGCTTGAGCCACAGTGCCTGGCTAGGGAAGAAGGTTTTTAAAGTCTCTCTTTGGAGACATTAAGACTGTATAATCATAATGTTGTACTAGGACTCAGCTCAGGTTGAGCCTGCACAGTTCATGGGTGGTTGTTGAAATCTTGGGAACAAGCAGAAATACATGGAAAGGTGAGGGACAAATTGATGCCTTTGGAGTAAGCTTGGCCATTTAAAGAGAACAAAAGGAGACAAAAGAATCCAAGGGATAGGAGGAAGAATAGTAACCAAATCAGGAAGAGAACCCATGCTTTTATTTGCAAAGCCAAGTACACAGAGAATGTAAAGATCTGTGAGTGAGGGAAAGAATATACACCAAACATGTGCCTGCCCACAGAGCACTGAGGAAGGATCATTTGATTTTGAATATCAAATTAAGATAATTTTTTAGCATTCAAATTACCAATTTGCTTTCATTCTGCTCATGACTTGCCTTCATTGGCATAAAATATGTTTTGAATCAGAGAGAAGTTTAGTTCCTAAGATTGCAAAATAAAATCATGTTTCTCTGTGTTCTTGATGTTCCTTTCAGGATATGGCCTCTGTGCAGCCAAAGCCCAGTACCCCATCGCTGATTTGGTAAAGATGCTCATTGAACAAGGCAAAAAGGTCAGGTATGTGTTTGCATTGGGAGGTTGCAGTACGGAGGAAGATGTAGGTATAAAAGTAAATAAATGAATGACTTCAAAAAGATTGTTTCTTAAAATTTTTTAATTGCTATTATAAAAGTGATGTACAGAGGGTTCAGGTAAAGAGTATGGTTTTTTTTTTTTTTTTGAACAATGTCACTTCTTCTCTCCCATTCCCACCCACAAGTTGTATAGTTCATTTGATGAGTGATCCTTCAAGTGGCATTCACATGTACTTTTTTTTTTTTTTAACTTGTCGGTTGTGGGCCTTGAACTCTGGGCATGCGTGCTGTCCCTGAGCTTTTCGGCTCAAGGAGCACACTCTACCACTTGAGCCATAGCGCCACTTCTGGTTTTCTGGTAGTTCATTGGAGATAAGTCTCATGGACTTCCCTGCTTGGTCTGGCTTTGACCACAATCCTCAGATCTCAGCCTCCTGAGTAGCTAGGATTACAGGCGTGAGTCTCTGGGCCCTGGCTCACATATACTATTAAGTAAAGAAACTTGAGTTGTGAAGAAAAGCCTCTATCCTTCTTACTACTTAGTTTCCCCTGCTTCTGGCTAATAGCATGAAATCTAAATACACATTGATTTATTTTTTTGGCAGCACTGGGCTTGAACTCAGGGCTTTGTTCTTTACTCTTTGAGCCATGCTTCCAATCATAGACTTGTTTTGGAAAGGAAAATTTTATTGTGCCAAATTTATTAGTTGAGAAGAACCAGAAGTCTTGTTTCTGTATGGTTTGATTTGGGAAAGGAGAGCAAGCAGAGCATTTGTATGACATTAAATTGTAGTTTTTGTTTCCAGAATGGTTTTGGAAGAGAAAGTCCCAGAAATAAACCTGTGGGCTGGTTATTCATTGTTTGCTGATTTCACTCTCAAACCCTTGAGGTGGAAAACACTGCTGAAAATGTTCATTTTTAAAATTTCCCCTGTTTTTTTGAATCTTGAATTAGCACTACAGGTATTCCTGCCACTTCTCTTTCAAGTATTGGACCCTACTCTCAGGAGGATATTAGGCAGATCAGAAAAGTGGAGGATCTGTGTGCCTCGATATTCTCATGACCTTAGGTAAAGAGTTTGAGGATCCAAAAAACAGGGTGATTGGAATGAACTTAGTGATGCTGTAGTACTTCATATCTGTTCTGCTCTGCTCTGCGACCCCATCTGGAGCTCTGCTCTTACTCAGAAGTCAGAGAAGACAGTGCCCCAAGTCATCCCCAGAGACACACTGCTGTTCAGTTAGTGGGCAGGCAGGTTCATGAGCAGTTACATAATCGGGGCACCATAAGTCTGAGTGACAAGAGAACTTAGTAAATAGAATGAATAACATCTGTGAACTGAATTGTTAATGGTTATTCATAAAAATTCCTTTTAGGAACTGAGGGTATGGCTTAGTGGTAGAATTCTTACCTAGGATTTGTGGTTTGATTCCCAGTACTGCTCCTCCCCCAAAAAATCCTTGTAAATTTTTGTGTGTGTGTGTATGTCTGTGTCGGGAGTGGATTTAAGGGGAGACTTCTGGGGCTTGAACTCAGGGTCTGGGCGCTGTCCCTGAGCTTTTTCTGCTCAAAACTAGCACTCTATTACTTGAGCTACAGCTCCACTTCTGACTTTTCTTTTCTTTTTTTTTTTTTTTGTTGGTCGTGGGGCCTGAACTCTGAGCCTGAGTGCTGTCCCTCAGCTCTTCAGCTCAAGGATAGCACTCTACCACATGAGCCACAGTGCCACTTCCGGCTTTTTCTGCTTATGTGGTACTGAGGAATCGAACCCAGGGCCTCATGCATACAAGGCAAGCACTCTACCACTGAGCCACCTTCCCAGCCCATTCTGACTTTTCTGATGGTTAATTGGCAATAAGAATTGGGGCTGGTTTCAAACCATGATTCTCAGATCTCAGCCTCCTGAGTAGCTAGGATTACAGGTGTGAGCCACCTGTACCTGGCTCCCTTGTAAAATTTTTGAGGTAAAACCTTACACTTTTGTCTGGAAGCAGATTTAAAAAAACATGCTAAACGGTGTGTCTTAGACTAGCTTGTGGATCTAGCCAGACCGGATATAGAATCCTTTTTGAGCTGAATGGCCCAGCTGTTCATGTTGGAAAGAGATAGATGGCAAAGCCAGGGGATCTGAATTGTCTTAGCATCAGCAGCTATGCCATCTGTATTGTTTCTTCCTTCCTTCCTCCTATTGCTTTCTTTTCTACCAATCTTTTCCCATACTTTCCTGAAATCTATGATTTGTGTTTTTTAAATACATAGAGTCACAATACTACTTTGTGGTAGGAGTTGAATTTCTAAGATGTAGATGATTATCTTGTTTAGTGAAACTCCTAGATTAATAAAAGATGAAAGATGAAAAAGTCATCATTTGGTTTTTATTCTATAAGAAATCTTTTAAAATTATTTACTCCTGGGCTGGGAAGGTGGCTCAGTGGTAGAGCACTTGCCTTGCATGCATGAGGCCCTGGGTTCGATTCCTCAGCACCACATAAGCAAAAAAGAAAAAACTGGAAGTGGCGCTGTGGCTCAAGTGGTAGAGCGCTAGCCTTGAGCTGAAGAGCTGAGGGACAGTGCCTAGGTCCAGAGTTCAGGCCCCATGACCGGACTCCCCCCCCCCCCCCAAAAAAAGAATAAAATTATTTATTCCTATTTTTTATAAGACACTAAATTGTGTTGTTGTTTTTAATCATGGTCTCATAACTTAGAACATTTGCAGACATGTGAGTAAAAAGGATGTGTTATTTTCCAAAAATAAATTATCTTCTTTATCTTTTATCTTCCTTATTTTATTTTTATGTGAAAAAGTCTAATTTATTAGTAATACTCTCCTTTGCCATGCAAATGTTTAGAGCCTATGTGGCAATCACAATACAATATATAGAGAAAGATGGTTTAGTTACCCTTAGGGAAGGGAATTTTTAACATGGCATACTTCTTTTGATATCTACACATGAGTGTAGGCTAACCAGACATCTTTGAAAACCAGCCCAATGTTAGACTGGTAAATACAGATTTGAAGATTATTATAAGACTCTTTGGCAGCTTGAAAAAAATCAGGGCAAGAAGAGAAATGAATAAAAAAGAAAATGTATCTGTAAAAGGTATAGGATACCAGTGGGACCCATCAGCTGTACTGGACATTGACCAAAATGAATTAAGCAACATAATAGCAGCGATGGGAGGGACAGAACAATTGGGAAAGAGGGAACAGCTGATGCTATGCAAAACAAAAGAAATGTACATATCACCCAATGTGGAAGAAATAACTATTGCAAAACTCATAGAACTCATAAATGTTATAGACCATGATAGACAATTTGCTCCATGAAAGTTAGAATGTGTTTGTGACTTTAAGCATCACTATCCCACAATACTGTGAAATTTGGGAAATTATGTAACCACTTAATTACAATAAAAAATTTGGAAAAAAAGGATATAGGATAGGTGAAGTTTTAGATTCAGATCTGATTAAAAGCTTTATTTTATCCACAAGACCACAGATAAACTACTGTTTTAGGATGATTTCTGTCACTCTAAACAGGAAAACTAATATTTGATTTACCATTTATCAGAAAGATTTAATTATACAGACATGAGTGGGTTCTCAGTTATAAACTAGTTTTCCTGAAGTAATTTTGTGAATAGAACAGAAGGCTTTCATGAGTGAGCTTTTCGTTATTTTATATAATTGCTGACATAATTTACTTACATCAAATTTGTTAATAATTTATGATATAGAGTCAGAATAAAATTATTGTTCAGTCTGGTTTTTCTGTGAGTTAGGAGACATTACCAATTTACATTCACCTGCTATTCACATTACAGGTGCAAATATAATTTAATAATATTGCAGTGTTTTGTTTTTTACTGCCACATATTGAATTTGCAGCATAAGCTTTTTAACAGGTTATGCAAAACTTGCATTTGAATCAAGTAAGGAGAGGAGTATTACGGTGAGTATGATGACAGTAGACTATCCTATTTTTTCCCTTCTAGCTTCTCTGTGGAATATATATTTTTTTAGTTGAAAGAGAATCACATAAACTTTGTTGATCTTGCTGTATAAATGTGTGTCATCATCTTTTCATAGGCGAAATGCAAATTTCTGTGACAAAGTTAGGATTGTATGAGCACAAAGATGTGAACTTCGTTTTAAAGACGCAAATGTGTGCTTGAACAAGCAATGGCTGCAGCAGTTACCTCGTATTTTAATGAAATAAATCTGTATTTACAGTTTGCGGTAATTTAGTCCTTTCATCACTCTGGGGAGCTCCCACGGTGTTCATTGAGTGCAGCTGCTGAGCCTCTGGTTTTAGTAGGTCTTTGTACTTCAGGAACCCAGCATGCCTAGCATCCAGATGTAGTGACATACTTGCACACATCCCCTGTGGAAATGCGCCAGTATGGACATACGATTGTCATCAATTAGTTATGCCCAAGTGGTGCCAAGAAAAATTGCATCTGTCATACAGTCTGTCTGGCTTCATGGCTCATGATTGATTTAGAGACACTCCTGTTTTCCTTTACTTTGACCATAGACACAACATGCTCAAAAAGCCTGTGATCTTATTATGAAGCTCATGACATTTCATGACAAGAACTCATCTCAGGACACCCACGTCATGCAAGTTCACTGAGGCTTTGTGTAATGGCCAAGACAAGTGCTTTGCAGTTGCCCAGAATGCCTGTGCACATTTACCTAAGTTATCTTGGAAAGCATTTTATGACAAAAAATATTAGAGTACGAGAGTACAGTTTTTCTTTTTACTTTGCAGTCTTTGATTTATAATGAAACTTTTTCATTATAAAGCAAAGATATCATTCCCAATGAGTAAATAACTATGTGATTTTTTTCTGATGTATTGCATGGTTTTTGACGCATTTTTTAATTTATGGGAAACATCTTTCATCCTTTGATAGACTGATGTCATATATTACTTTATTTGGTGGGTAGTACTGGGGTTTGAACTCAGGGCTTTGTG